TAGTAATCAATATCATTTGTGTTAAGTTCTTATTCCTACTGACCGAATTGTGTCGATTAAGTTACTATATGACCAATCATCCGATATCCCAATATAATGCACGTGATGTCCGGTAACTTAAGCTAGTTGCTACATTTCAACGTAATCGATAGAATTTGGTCAGCACTAATTGAACTTGAAATACATAATACTGGTGACTACTCAGTGGTCAATCAATTGTAAATCACGAAATATCTAGAAACTGCAAAACCTGACTACAGTGTTGATTTCGGTGTATATGCTAATTATGTTTTTTTTTTGAAAAATGGTTGGAACCCTAAAGCTTCCATGTTATCTATGAGTTACTTTGTGAAATGATAACTAGAAACCTAGCCTCTAACTCTCAAGCATTCTACATAATTGTAGTTATCGAATCTTTTTGACTGTGCAAGTAGGATCTATTTAATTCAACGTACATGAAGAGGTAAAACTTTATGTAGGAAACTATTTAGGTTGACTTCTAGGCTGATGATATTATCACTAAATAAATTGAGAGCTTAAATTGTTAGTGGGTTTATCAAACCTGATGGCCAATTGGACCGAAATGGAAGGTAAAAGATTATAATGAAAGCTAATCCCAACTTCAAAACAGAAAGGTTTTCATAATTAATCATAGTTTTTAGTTTCATATTAACATAGGTGAACACAAAAAGTTTTGATTTGCAAAGGACAAGTGTATAATAGACTAAAACATATTGGTCGGTGGTAGAATGTTGTTATTTGATGTGATTAAAAGTACTCTACCACAGTAATAATTATTACAAAGAAATCTTTGCAATATATGGTTAGCTTGTTTTACCGGGGAAAAGTTAACAACATCGTACGCTGATTCTTCTGCATGATAAGCGGGATAAAACAGACGTTCACTGTTTTATCAAAAATCCCAGATAAACTCAGTGATGCAAACGTTTTATCGGATATAACTTGATAGCGCAAGTGTTACTAACAGTTGATTTGTTGGTTACTAAACCAACCAGAAGGTAAAGCAGCTTACAAAGAAAAGAATTGTTCCCATTTAAAATCTCAAGTAATATTATCATTTGAAGTAAATACTTTTTACCCATAAATTATTAGACTTTGAAAGAGTTACTGAATGAAAATATTAGATAAAACTCTTGGGAATGAATAATATTGGAAAATGAAGACTTTCTCATCTTTCCTTGTACATAATCATCCATACCTATATGTTCCATTATCATCAACCAATTCCTATAAATTTTTTAGACTTGGTTTACTAGTTGACTCCATATTACTTGAAAAAGACATTCGTTTACTTCTAAGAAACAAAGCACGATTTAATAAAATCATCAGGATCCCTATGTTGGACTATCAAACAACTAGAAAATTGCCTTAACGTAAAAACAGGTGTATTTTTATTGGAGCTTGCCAAGTCTACAGTAAGTTTATTAGATTATTATTATACAACTAACCGTTGTGACGAGCACTCAAGAACTGGTTTATCTTACAAATACAGATTTACCAACAAGTTTAATGAAACTAGACGTCATTTTTGAACATGTATTTTATGTTTATTGGTAGCAATCAAGGAAAATAGAACATAAAACCAGATAAAATTCATGTTCACAGACACTCCAACCTACATTTCTCAAGATAAAAGTTATATATCTTGTCATTCGTGATTTTTGGTCTCATACAAAACTTTAATAGACTTATTTTCAGTAAATTATTCGGTTGACAGATGACTGCTGAATCCATGTAAAACCATTTTCAATAATGATGGAGTTTCAGCGTTAACGTCCGAAACTTGGTCAATAAGATTACTGTACTGAAGTGATAGATTTATGAGAGATGAAAATGATAGAATGGACAGACATAATAAAACATAGCTCCTTACACAGGAATATCAATAAAATTTATACAAAGTTACAATATTAAAGCCAAGATCAACTAGCGAAGTATATAATCAATAGTGAAACGGACAGACGTAAGTAAACAGAGACATTAAACAAACTGAACGATTTATAAGCACGTATGAGTTCATAACATAAAATGCAAGACTTTCGATTTTTCACTCAAGTGAAAATCCCTAAACAAGATAGTAAAATTTGTTTGCTGTTTCAGAATTGTCACAGCCCCCACTTTAAAGCATCTTTCATTTTGGCTGTTTTTCTTAACACTTTAAAATCCTTAACTTCAAACGTTTCGGTAAACGTATTTGATTGTTATTGATATAAAAAATGTAATTGCGTTCTGTCTCTTATTGAGGCTTTATACCAATGGATAAGGTTATTTTGCAATATTGCCTTATAGAGTGGAAACGAGTATGGTTTTGGATGAGTCAAAATATGAACAATGAATTTGTAATCTACTTCATTGTAAGTGTGGAATTACAGTAACTTTGAAGAAAGTTCTTCAGATAAAAAAAATACATATTCTATACTATATCACATATCACTAGATTATAAAAATAAGTTTATCATAGAATCTCGACTTCTATTTTGGATTTTTTAAAGACTAGGTATCCGTTTACTAAGTTCACTAAAATTATCCTTCGAATTATACTCATTATGCTCTTGCCAAAATCGATCCAATCAATCACTGTTTTCACCAGATTTCATAATCAATAAGATATTAATGATCAAGTAATTGGAAAAGAGATTTCTATACTAGTGAATACTTAAAGACGTGAAATGAAACCACAAACATGGTTTTTCGAGAAAAAACACTAGGTGGGATTCTAGAGCTCTTTGTTACTTATTTCAGTTAGATGGAGGCAAGGTATTTTACGCGTCACATAGTCCTTTATTATAAAAGATCGTTCATTTACTACAAACGCTGAAATAAACAGTTGAAATTCAGAGGGTAAATAATAGGGAATTGTTAATCACACAAAGTGATGACATTTCGACCGCAATATCAGCATTGATGAATATTTACTAAAAAGCACACAAACACCACAATAAACAAACTAACCTTAAAATCAACTAATGCGTTTTTTATAATATAATTAGCTATGGATTTCAAGTTGACTGAACCGATTTTGTAATTACGTGAAAAACCATCTTGTGCACGTACCACATGTACATTATATTTACACGATAACCAATCTAAAATTGTTTTGAAATTTATAAGGAGTATAGCAGTTAACTGTATTGATAAGTGTACATTCACAAAATCTATAGATAGGTCTAAAGCGATTGTTTTGAGCTTGTTTAACTGTTGGTCAATGTATACTTTTTTCACTTCGTCACATGAATTCTTTCCACCGTGATCTCGATGACCGAATGGATTTGTTAGCTGCGTTGTGCGTTGAAGATAACCGCATGGATTTGATTTGTAATTTAAAATTTCATTACTATCACTAAAAAAAGTCATAACGTTTTTATCTGATTTCCAGTGTGACAGAAATATAAGCCAAAATGAAAATGTTACAATAACAGTTATTGAATCAATAAAAAAATTAAAGGCCAAACTTTGCTTCGTTTTGCGTTGTGGCCAACTTAAGTTAACTGAAGAAGATACAGTTTTCGTCATTTCTGATTGTTTGTATCGTTTGTACCCAGTTAGACGTGAATATGATATGAATGTTTTTCTATTGTGCATGCAAAATAATAGTTCTTTAAACCGTGTTGCGTATATATAACCCGAACACAAAGATAATAAAAATAGTTTTGTACATATTTCAATAAATTTCACTTCATAGTAAACTTCAGCTCTTGTATCCATTCGACGAGAAATCACAGAGTTTGTATTTATTTTACTGCGTATGTGCATAACCCTCCTTGGTGATATTGATGGGGTTGATGGCGGAGCTGAAGATGAAAGCAGTGAAAACCACCAAGATGGATGAATGTTTGGTAAGGTCAGTATTAGGAAAGGACTCAAAAATGTAATGCTCACGGTTAATATTTCTAAAAGTATCAACAATTTATGTACATAATACAAGCATTTCTGCTTAGTCACTTGTTCATAACAATCTGAATACATTTCTTCATTGTCTGACCATTCTGAAATAAAGTGCTTTGAAAATTGTTTCCCCTGCTTTAAAGTTCTGTGACATTCTGTATAGTTCTTTTTTGTGTCTACAAATGAGCACATTGGAACACTGAAAATTGAGGTATTTCTGAAGGATTCCCCTAAAACGTGTAGAAAACATTTTAGTCAGTAAAGAAGCCGATAAACGATTGCTTAATATTTAAATGTTGACCAAAATAACAAATTAAAGCATCTCCAGCGGCTCCCCGACAAGTAATTTTCCATTACTTTTTAATAGCAGCATGAGTTGCTAAGTAAACACACCCACTGGATTCATTTAACTTTATTATTAATATTAATGGCTTTATTCAATATTATATATTGGTACAATATAGAATTCTCAGCACAAGGTACTTCAGCATGTTTCTTTAACAAAAAAAACTACAAAAAATAAGAACGACAAAAAAGAACAGGAAAAAGGTTAGAAAATCTGAAAAACTGTACAACTTTCCAAATTAGAGACATGTTAAGAATGCAGGTTATTAAAAAAGTTAACTTTAATAACCTGTTTTTCACAGAAAATATTTGCTAGGTAAGGTATTATAGAACTTTTATACTTTTTCTTGCTTACATGGATTTCAATGTATTGGCGTTTCGTTCTACCACAAGATATACAAGGAGAAAAATATGAGTGAAGGGGATGGCTAGTGTGTGTTAAGATAACACCTGCCAAAAGTTTGCATGACGTTAGATGTCTATCCACAACCATATTAATAATGACTTCGAAAGGTTTGCCACAAACCTTGCTAACTGCCTTCAGCACTATCCTCAATACAGCAAAATCTTTTTTCAAAAGCTCGGGAAAGAATAACGGAGAAAAGTAAAGAACAATAAGTAATATGCAGGAATCTACAAATTGCAAGATTAAATAACGAGTAATCCCAAAAGCCTGAAGCCTTTTTATGTGGCAAGTCAGACGGAAAATTTTCATCGACAACAGTAAAACGTGAGGAGATCAAAAGAGATCAGAAGAAAAGGTAACACCTAGATAATTGACCTTCGACACTGTGTTTACGAAGGTTTCTAATAGCACAAGCATTAGGAGACCCCAAAATGGTGTTCAGATGCTGTTCATGTCTCATGCTAAAATTAACAGCTTGATATTTAAACGGATTAAGTGTGAGATCATTACCAACAGACCAACAATCAATACGAGACAAAAATGCATTCATTACTATGGGATATAAAAAGGTAGAGACCGGCATACAAACAGTAAGATCATCCGCATATTTGACAAACGTGTTTTCTGTGGAAAATGGCAGATCATGAAGAAAGAAAGAGAAAATAAGAGGTGATAAAACGGTTCCTTCTGGTACACTTTCATAAGACAGTAGAGAATTTGAACAATTTCCTCCTAGCACAGTGTACTGTTCTCTTCCAGACAGGTAGGAACATAGCCAGTTGGTTATCCAGCTGTTAGTGTCGATGCTAACTAACTTGTTAAATAAACACTGTCTTAGTATAGAGTTAAAAGCAGAATTATAGTCCAGAAAAGCGCATCGAACATACTTCTTGCTCTTTTTCAAGTTGAACACCATATTATGATGCAGAACCGCAACGGGATTTAAGGTGCTTCTTTTACATCTGTAGGAAAACTGATAGGGATCAATGTGCTCTTTTATTGCAGGTCGAAGTGGAAGTATGAATAATCTTTTCATTGTTTTAAGGAAGAGTGAAGTCTTTGCTGTAGGTCTAAATTTCTTATCACCAGATACTTTCTTAGGTATAAAGATTATTTTCACGAGAATACTGGAAATCTTAAGGCTTTCTTTATAAAAACAAGAAACGTGGTTGAAGAATAGTATAAGCTAACTATTTTATTTGATGAGTTAACACAAGCTATGTGATCATCTTTGCTACAGTATGATTTACTAAGCCTTTCTAACTCATATCCTTTTGTATTTGAACGCCTGTAAATTACATCTTTCTAAACCAATTGTATTATACAACAACAGGAAAACTCCACTTATTTTTACAGATTGAAATTATAAGACATTTTGAAATCTAAAGTCAAGCATTTATAGTAAAATATAGGAGATCTAAATGCACATTTTACAGTTGTGTAGCCGTTCTTGTGTTAACTTGTCAAAGGTCATGTATGTCTGCAATTGCATCTGAATTTTTTCATGACGAAAGAAGAAACGCACCAGAAACCATAGTGAAAACCCTTTAATAGACCAAGCAAATAAAATGTTCTCCGAAAGTTTATTGTTTGAAGGTTCTATCAGTCTACCATTATTGCTCTTAAATTAATTTTAGCGGAACTCACTTATCCTCAAATCAATAACTTGAGGTTGTAAAACAGCACCATTATTATTGATTTCAATATATGACTGCATATCTTATTAAACTCCTAGTTAATTGAATATAGCATACAATGAGTCAAAGTATTCGCTACGAATCTCGATTACAAAATACATTTTAGAAAACGTCACCTTTATTTTTTCAGATTTTTCTACAAATTCTAGGCTCTGGACCGCAAAATATCTACCTACTTACTAGACTAACTCAGTGATGCGAAACTACGATGGTGACTATTTTCCCATTAACTAAATTAAGAATATGCTACGTATGGTGGAAAAAAATATTTATTCTGTTTTTCTGGTGTTGTTGCCGCTTAGCAAAGGCATTTAAGGCATACTATTCACATTAGATACTTTTGATTTCATCTTCTAGTCTCTATAATTTATGTGGTTATCTATATGAATTAATGTCACCGAATCATAAAACATACCCTATCGTCTTACAACAACTATTTCCACTTTGGATAAACCTTTTAGTGACATGCTGGGGAAAACTCAGAACTCTGAAAACATTTGCATGATAAAAAAGATTATGAGATTTTATCAATGACTACAAGTGGGTTTATGCAAATTGTTTGAAAATTCTGGAAGAATCGCCGGGAGTAATCGGGGAAAACCCTAAAATCGGAAATATTTGCTCAAATCCGTAGAAGTCTTGAAGTTTCTGGGCAATCTCCCTAAATTTCTTAAAAACGAACGTAAATTTCCTTAAAATAGAGAGACTTGGTTCTCACACACCTCTCGTACTCTTTTTCAATATAACTCATGATCTCGATGTGCTGGCAAACTGTAACAAAACTGAAAACTACAAATGTCTCGTTTACAGTTTATGATGCGGAAATTACCAAGTTTATTCATGTTCAATATTAAAAACTGACTGATTTGTCTAATCTCCATGTTATGGATAGCCGAACTTGTTCAAAACAACAGAAGTGAAAAACGTTCCAAAAAAGCATTAGGAACATTGCAAAAAGATATGGAGATTGATTTAAAGCAATATATAAACAGTACTCACTCTTTACAATGTTAACAGCAAACTATTTTAATTTAGTGCTCTTTCAAGTGAAAGTGGTGCATTTAAAAAGTGCTTCAATACTCAATAGCTTCTAATGTCTAATATATTTTTCATTAGCTTGTCTAAAACAACAAATTTCTTTGATCTCAGTTTTTTATTGTTTTGGCACGGCTTTAGATATTTTATTATGCATAATGAGTGGTAGTCTGGTCAATCGATAGCACCAGCTCTAGTCAGTGTGGATTGAATTTTTTTGAGTTTGCATGAGTTCGTTTGTTTTAGGTTACTAGGGTTTCTAGATAACAGTATCCATCACATTATCGAGCAAAAGGTTAATGATAATTCAAGTGCCAAGAGAAGGCAATTGAATAATGATTAAATAAATGACTTAATGGCGAGACCACAATTTATGGACGAATCAATCAGATTTACGATAACAGGTCCTGCATTTTAGCTCGAAATTCATTCACCCTTTTGACTAATCGGTATTCTGGTATTATGGCTGATGTCATTTCGTGATAAAACCATAAATCTAATTCCTGACCCCAACCATCAACTATAAATCATAATCCTTATTCTTCAAACTGCTTTATAACCTTCGCTTAGCCCCAAGAAGTAGGTTGGTTGGTTAAGAGTTGACCCCAAACAACCAAGCATATGCCAAAACAGTATTGTTCAAGTATTCAGTCACTTCCTTATTTTGTATAAGCGTTATATTCCCTATTATCTTGTATTGAATGTTGAGAGCCTTTGTTTGTCTGAACAGATAATCCCACGCTCCACTGTGACCGCGCTAAGATCGAAATAAAGACCTATTCACTACTTGTCTGGTTTCTTTTATCAATAGCACGAGGGTTACCTTAAGGCACAAAGACACTCTCAAGGTCACTTTAGCGTCGGTAAAAGGTCGTCCATATATTATAGTCTCACCGATTTAATTGGTTGATGATAAGTAATAAGATGGATTATATATAATACGAGTGAAATGTGTATGGTAATGACAGAGATGAGAAGAAATTATCTGCACGCAGTGATGGTAACCATGATAATTTATGAGATATACATCATACACAGTTGTTCCAAGAGAAAGACAATAATCCATAAGTGCGTACGTGTTAGTCATGTCTCCTCTTTAGGCCATGCACCTAGATGGCTGATAGAGTATTCCTAAATGGGACGATCCTAAGTCAGAATAAAAGAAAAGTACATAGGTGTTTGCTAGTTGACGTTCAATATTCCTAATTCCTCCTGGTTTACACCTTAGTTGGTGGTTAAAGTGTGTTGGCCAGTATCATGAGGACTGGCCGCCGTATGGTTTCCTCTTTATCGACTATCCCATTAGTAAGTTGTCCTGTACGTGGGCTACTGGTCCAATTAAACCAAAACCAATGTTTGTTTTATTTGTCTGTATTTGCCTTACTGATCTAGGTTAGCTTTCATAACACTTATGTTACTAGAGCGGTCGGTTTTCAAGCTGTAACATAAATGAAGTTCCTCGATTAAGTCCTTACACTTTTGCAGATCACGGACATTAGAAGCACGTTCCTAAAGACATTGACGTTTAACATACGAGGTAGCCTGGACACGATGATAAACCTGGTGGTGTTAATGCCCGTACTACGTGATAGTTAACGCCACTGTTGAAATCGCGTTCGTTTACTTTGTTACAATATCACTATTCACAAACATCCTGTTGGTACGTAAGTACTGTTAGGATTCTATTTCGGGTTTCTTCAGAAATGCACTTATACACATGATTCTAACATCTACTAGAACCGTTATTTTGTGAATAATCATACTCGTTGGTCTTTGTGCGTCTGCTGATCTTCTAGAGCGATCTTTTACTACCCATAAAATTTTGTGTCATATTGTGGTTTAAAAAAGTTGTTATGGATCGCTTCGGGTTTTCAGTACAGTTTCTTCATTAGGTGTGCTGAATCTAAAGTTATTCTTTTACTATGTTTTGGCTCCTATACAGAAAGCATAGTTTGGCTGAAATAAAGCTATTTCACAACATTGTATAGCATTTACTCCACTGTTTTTCTTATCAAAAACTGCCTTGTTTTCTAACTAGCTACTATGAGATGCTGAGATGTCGAGTAATATCAGCTGTTCGAGTACTTGGATATCCTAGTGAGGATAGATACTGTAGCCTCCAATAAGTTCTTATGCTTCTCGATTGTCAGTTCAGTAAGAGTACCTTTTCTACACTGGGTAAACACACCAGAAACACGAACAGGGGTGACGTAACATAAACCTGTAGCAGTGCCCATGTATTTCGTCATCACAGCGACAGCGAACCAAGCCACTACAGATATTACATTCTATTACTGAGCTCCTGGATTTAACGAGCAACGAAAACGTGATACATTTATTGCCTTTGTGCTCCTCCTCAGTCGTAGTCTGTAAAACAGGTAGTCGAGGATACCATTTGTCCTATTTCTTTTTTGCTTAATATGCTTACTAGTATTAGGGAGCTAGGTGGGAGTGTACCGTTCTTATATATTTAGAAATTCAGTTATGTTTGACATGAGCGATCTATGTTGTACACAATACTCTAAGAATCTTTATCTGGTGTCGTCTTAGGCTTTCTTATGATACAGAGATGACCGACTTATTCTTAACCCCTGAATTCATACATAAATCTCACTTAGTTATCTTTGTTGTTTTAGTGTATGTACCAGTGGCAACGCTATAACTGCTCGTGCTACTCGATAGATTAAACTGTTATGTGGTTTGGAGGGGAGGGACGAGGGATGAAATTTTCTGAAGAGAGAAGTTAGAGATAAGCGAACATATGATACAAGAGAATAGGATGTTAAAGACACTCAAAAATGCGACGTTAATTCTGACGGTTTATGAAAAGAATTTCGTGTGGATTTAGCAACTTGTAGTGGCTGTGCTTCGTTAATTAATCACCCTCGAATCATTATCGTATAATCTTCAACGATGTTTGAAATCAGAAGGCAAAAAGAAGCAGCTACTACAGTTTATTTAGCAGATGATTCGGATTAGACAGCAGAGAGGCAAAATGAATGAGCAAGCGAACTACGATTGTAGCAGTAGCAAGTAGTTGTAGTAGTAGTAGTAGTAGTAGTAGTAGTAGTAGTAGTAGTAGTAGTAGTAGTAGTTAATGGGTGCAAATGTACACACATATATATGTATAGGAAAATGGATGAGTCAGCGAATAGACTAAGCAGTTAATAATGAAGTTAGCAGAATGAATACATGCGTAGGCGCTAAACAATGTTCAAGCATATGTATTTCATACAAGCATAATAATAAAGATAGTACAACAAGTTGTTATATCATGGATGGCTTTGTCCATTAAATAGGTCAC